AGTGTAACACTTTCAAGGTTTATTCATTTTGAAGCATATAGCATAACCTTTTCATAATCAAATAGAATCCCATTGTATAGCTACACCACATTTTATTATCCTTTCCTGGATTGATGGACATCTGGACAGTTTTCACTTTCAGCTAAGCAATGCTGCTTAGAACATTTATAAACATTTCTGAACTCTCTTTTGTGGAAACATGTTTTCAATTTTCTTGGATATATACCTTAGAACAAAATTGTAGGATTGTGTGGTATTTCTCTTAAACTTCCTAAGGAACTGCCAAATGGCTTTTCATGTCAGCTGCACCATTTTACAGCACTGGATGAGGGTTCCAATTTCTATATGTCACTACCAAACTTAGTTTTTTCCTTTTTTTTAAAAAAAATATATATTCTAGTGGGGGTAATATTTATTTTTATTTTTACTTCCATATGACTAATGATTTTGAACATTTTTTCATGTGCTTATTGGCCATATTATGTCTTTTTTTGAGAACTATTTAAATTCTTTGCCCATTTTTAAGTTGGGTCATTGGTCTTTTTGTTGTTGAGTTGTTAGGTTCCTTTATATATTCTGGGTTCTAGACTCATCAGATATATAACTTGCAAACACCTTCTCTCATTATGGAGCAGGTTTATTCATTCTCTGGACAGTGTCCCTTCATGCATAAACACATTTTAATTTGTTAAAGCCCAGTTTATCTACCTTTTGCTTTTGTTGCTTTTGCTTTTGTGGTCATACTGAAGACATTTACCTAATACAAGGATTTTGACTTATTTTGCTTAATCTGATAGTCTCTAGTTCCACCCATTTTTCGGCCAATAACATGATTTCATTTTTCTTTTAAGACTGAACAAAAACTCTATTGTGTATATACACCACATTTTTTTTATCCATTTATGACTAATGGATACCTAAGCTGGTTCTATAGTTTAACTATTATAAATTGTGGTGTTTTAAACATAGATATGCATGTATCACTGTAGTAAGATGACCATAATTCTTCAGGAGCACTCTTTTTAAGTCATTTTTGGTTATTTGTTTCTACAAATATCGTCCATTTTATCCAAGTTATATAATTTGATAGCACACACTTAATGTTCTAATTCGTCTATTTCTGGAAGTCTGGTGATTGCTGGGACCCTAGCAAACTTTCAGACTGCCAGCTGATGGGTGATAATTTTCCAAATGTTCATATCTGCTTTTTTTAATTTGTGTTTTCTCTGATTCTTTATTAAAAAATGTTGGCCTTATTTTTTTTAATCTTTTTAAGAATCACTTTGGATTTAGTTGATTATTCTGTTTTTTAATCTTTATTATTATTATTATTATTATTATTATTCATTCTAATTTTTTAATATACGTATATTTTTATTACATTGACTTAACTCTTTTATATTTAGCACACATAACTCTATTGCATCCTTTGCTGTGGAGATTTAATTTGATGAAATCCCATACTTTCACTTGGCTTTTGTTGCCTGTGAAGAGAATGGTATCTATAATAAGAAATTTCATTTGAAAGTTGCAATGAGAAACATGATAGGCAAGTAAAGTGATGGATTTACTAATTAGCCTAATTAAATCATTCCAAGAGATAAACATATAGTGAAATATCACATTACACCCCCAAAATATATGCAATTGTTATTTGTCAATTTAAAATAAAATAGAAAAAGAATAGAGATATTAAGTGTTAGCATGGATATTGAAAATTCCTTATATACTATGGGTGAAAATATAGATTGTGATTTATCTTGTGAAAAGAAGTATGAAAGTTCTGTACCACTACCTTTTTTCCCCCTGAATTTAGAATGTTCCCATTATTATAAACACTTTTTTCTTGACACTCTCCTTCATTGTAGTCCTACAAAATTCTTAAAAAATTTGCATTTTTGGCTTCTTCCTTCAAATAGCTAAGATTTCTTCTTTTATATTGGTGACCTTTTTTATTAAACTAGAAAGCCTTGAAAAAGAAAATCCACACATTCCTACAATATTTCTACAATCCTAACATCTTGATCATACATTATATTCTCCCATTTGTTACAAAAAATATAAAATAAAAAAATCTGTTCTGGGGCAACACTTTTTTGTGATACTACATCCAATTCCAAATCATTTTATGAAAGATGTCACCAAAGTTATTGGTTTATCTTTCCTAAGTGATCAGTCAGTACATCTTGCTAGAATATTGTTGTCAGTGCATAACAAGCTATAATTTTCCATCTTTAAAAAGTTTTCTTAAAATAGATATCTTCAAAATAGCATTACAGAGGATCAAAGGCAAAAAAAAATCCTGAAAACCTAGCCAAAATTGTAAAAATCTTTACTCTAGAAGATACTGAAGGGTTAGAGCCACTTCTTAACTAGAAAAATTATGGTAGGAAAATTTTGGTGGCATTTTAATTTAATTTAATTTTTCTCCTTTACTGCTTCCTTTGCCCTCATAGCAGAAGGATTGTATTACCAATATGGATGCCAGATTCTGGATGAGCAGAATAACACATTTACAAGAAATTTTTGTCTTTTGAAAAATAGTCTGAGATTCTCTGAATGACTGATAGTAGGACTTTCCATGGATATACCTAGCATCAACAATCTCAGGATAGGGAAGCCATTACACAGGTATTGTGCCCTAAAACAATGAAATTTTAAAAATGAAAATATTACTTCTTCCTGAGCTAAATAAAACCAGTTTTGACTATAATAGACAATAATAGACATGCTGAAAATGTGAGAAGAAAAGTAAGAAGTGAGCTACATTGAGGAATATGGCTTTGGAAATATCTTACATCTACTAGGAAATATAGAAAAATTATGCACATAAACAGAATAATAGTTCTATTCAAAACAAATAAATAACAACAAACACTTTAAATCCTACAAACTTTTACTTCTCTCTGATATTCAGTTTCAAAAGATAAAATAAAATGAAATCTTTGATGGATCTACAAAACATTTTTCAAATACTTAATGGTCTTTTGTGTAAATGCCAGGTCTACAAAAATTGGACAAATATGTACAAAGTTTTTCTTTTATAACCAGAATTTTAAGGACTTCTCTGCCAAATCACATGCTAAAAAACAGTGAGATTCCATTTTGAGTGTGTAGTCTCTTTACTAGATTGTATATCAATCACATTCTGATATATTGCATATTTGAGAGTAAAAGTAATGTCTTTGTCTACTATCTTCATGGAGAAGATTTTAGAGTTCAGAGAAAATTATGTTCTTAATTGTAATTCTCCAAAACTAGATTGTGAAAGGGGGGAAGATTTTACATTAAAATAATCTAAACCACCAGTAAAAATTGTAATATTACTACTCAATTATAAGATCTATGACTGTTGAGTTTAAGACTATCTCTTTCTTCTCTTTTTCCTTTTTATGTGAGTTTAGCATCTACTATTTATCAAATTTGTGCTATATGCAAGTAATTGTTAGAGAGCTGGCACCTTCTGAGAAACTGAGGCAGAGTGAAGAATCCCCTTCAAACCCTGTTATTTCTGATCATGTCAGAAAATATTTCAGATATGGCACTCAGAATAACCAGAATGAGTTTATTGAAGAGATAGGAAAGGGAAAGATATACTCTCACAGGAGAAAATGGGTGTACTGAGAGAGGATAGGAACAGTGTATCTCTTGTGCCCTCCAGTTTTATTGGGGCTCCAGAGAAGTTTCCAGGATGGCTTCCTGAAGTCCACCTCTTGACTTCTGACTGACAGCTGGGTGACATTAGACTTCCAAAATCCCAGTGTCATGGTCACTGTAGATCACCTAGGCCCAAATTGTTTGATTCTAATTGAATTTTTAACCATATATTTTTATAGATTCTATGGTTATGAGGAAAAATCCTTATGTCACTAAATCTTATGATCTGTGTCCCAAAAGATTTCTGGTTTCCTTCTATTAATATCATCTTGATTCTGCACTTCTTGCACAGATAATAGGGGGTTTGTAAAAAAAAATTTGACATATCCTATCCACTTAGGCCAGGTAGGGCTAAAGGTAAATTGCTTTTTGACAAAGAAAGCACGTGGGACCATTTTAGAACTATTCTCTTAATTTTCTGTCCCTGCCATCTTCATGTGTCTTTCACCTAACACAATGATAAGCATGTTCTTGACCCAAAAATATTTATAGAGGTGATCCACTGGTCATCAATGACAAGTCCTCCTTCTGTACATGTTGAAGTTTGATCATTAGAGAAGCTTCCTGAAGCAAGTATATAAAGCAGGGTTTATTTAAAAAGGGGTCACATAAACTTTTCCCTCCAGGGAGAAGGGGGTTGTAATTCATATCCTGGTACCCCAAGAAGGGAGGTGTTTTGCCCTTTTTAGATGTCCTGGGCTTCCTTGTTCTCTGACTTTTTTTTACCATCATCTTTCTCCTTCCTGCATAGTGATTTATATGTAGTAATGAGAGTTGAATCCAGTGCTCACACATGCTAAGCTAGCTACTAATGAGCTGGAACTACAGCATTGATCTGCTGTTCTGTATAGTTTTTTTTTTTTTTGGGGGGGGGTGGGCAAAAGCATAGCATATTTTGCTGTTGTGTAAACTAGGATTCATTATCTAACATCCCCTTCCCAGTCATTTGCTCTCACTACATTCCCTTACTATTCTCTTCAGCCTCTGAAACATCACCAGTCTGGTCTGTGCTTCTATGAGATGAACATCATACATGTTAGGGGAATCAAGCAATATTTGTCTTTCTATGCTAGGCTTATTATTTCATTTAACATAATGATTTCCAGTTTCATAGGTTCGACAAGACGATTTCATTCTTTTCATGGCTAAATAAATACTCCATTGTACACTGATTTGTTAAGTTTCAGTTGCACATTTTACTGACATCTGTTTTCGTGTAGCAGCAGATATCCAGATCCTGCCTATTCTACCCGGACTCCCGTTATTACTGCTTGCAAGGCAGGTACACATTTCATTCATCCTCCCTCAAGTTGTACTCCAATACCTTTTGTATTTATTCACAGGTATCAGTCAGTCGACCACGCCCATGCAGTAACGCGAAGTGGAGGAGGGGTAAAAGAGGACCCTACAGGCCACCGGAGTCTAGGTAGCTCCGTCGCCATTTGCTGTTTCGTCATAGTGTACTGTTGTGATTTACGGGAGAGCTCCGGTGGGTAGACATTTGTTTACTCAACCTGCGACTGATAGATATTTCCAGCTTTCTCAAGGGGAAAGGAGTTGGCAGCGACCATCGGTAAAAGTTGTCGCTGTTACCGCCATGCCTAAGAATAAAGGTAATGAGATGAGATTACCAAACTGCGGCTCTATTTAGGCTTGGTAGTTTTCCCCTATAATTTCGGGTCTGATGCCGGTAGTGTAGGCAGGGTCAGTTCTTACTTTTCACTCACGGAAATGCCTGCATCTCAGCTCTCCAGAGGGCGAGGAAGTCGCTCCTATTTCTCAGTTTGGCCGCCTTGGTATGGAGCCGGCGCCATTTTTCTAGGACCCCCCAGCGGGAAAATGTGGCCTTTTGCCGGTGGTTAGCGATAGACCGCGGCTCTTCGGGAACTTGTCGAAAAGGACGGTGGGACCCTTAAACATTTTAAGGTTTGCTTTAGTGATTCATTTTAGCCCAGCCCTTTACAGAGTTTAACCAACTTCCAACTTTTCCTTACCCCCCCCCCATCCCCGAACTTGGCTATATTGAGAATAAACACGAATACGGACCATTCACATTATTTCTTTATTTATTGCTTAAATGTTCACAAACTAGAGGTGAGAATGAATTTACTGGGAATTTCCAAAATAGGGGCCTAACCTTTGTAGAGATGAAAGAACACACATTACAGAAATTCGTTACTGAAATTCTTTTTATAGAATTAAGGTTTTTAATGCCCTTGATTTCTTTAAGAAAACTCTAGATACAAACAGAGAAACTGGTTTCATGGTAATGGTGGTTTTAAATAGCAATGACAGCTCACCAGAAAAGTGATTGATTGTTTTGTGGGGACCTGGACAACTTCTCCTTTTTACTTCACAGGGGGCGGCAGGCATTTTACTGTATTTCTTTTTGTAGCTATTGATACTTGGTAGCGATTCTATCTCTTTTGTTTACCGTGCACTGATCCACAGGCATTTCACCTTATTTTCTGCAAAACCATTTTGTAGCATAGTTTTATTGCCAATTGGAATGAGGGAAGAAGTAACTCCTTCAGGCATTACACCTTCACTTCTCTGAAACCAACTGATTGATCATTTTTGTAGCAGTACTTTTACTGCCAATTATTTGGGGTGTGGAAAGAAGTACATCTTTTTCTACTACAAAAGTATGAGTTTTTTCGTTGACCTATATAATCCCTAGTTACCTCTCAGATTATAACACATATAATCCCTAGTTAACAAATATCTCCAGAATTTGGTTCTCACTTTTTATTTCTAGTGATGAAAAGTTGAAGCCCAAACTAGGTTATAAATTCTGAAGGAAAAAATAGCTCACTTACACAATTAGTAACTGTTGGACAAATATTTATTCTCTATCCACATGCCTCACTTAAACTTTAGGGAAAAAAAAAAATGGTTCTCCTTTCATTCTTGTGGGTTAGGACTTTTTAACAAAAGAACATATCTGAATTAAGGAAGACATATATATATATTTTGGATTAAGTTTATAAAACAAATATTTTATAGTAGAATAAACTGAACTTTAATTGTTTTATGCACAGTTTTAATATTATCTAAAGAGAATTTAAATATTTTATAGTAGAATGAGCTGAGCTTTGGTTTATTCACAGTTTTTATATTGTCTGAGAGAATTTAAAAATGCACTTTTACTTGGAAAAAATCCAGGGTAAATAGATAATTTAGTAAATTTATAACGAATTATATAATGTTTTAGAAACATTAAAAAAAAAAAATATATATATATATATATACATTGAACTCCTGGAGAACCATACCACTGAACATAAGCATTACAGGATAGGTTCAAAAGTCTGTGTGAACCCTTTCTAAATTTCTTCCTCTTATTCTGCAGATATGTACCACACTTTCATTCCTGCACATGTAAATAAATCTGTAATCTTCTAGTTTTCTTGACAGATTGGTATTTCTTAAGATCCTGGATTTTAGAAGATGTTACTCACTGATGTAGAAATGAAATTTATTATTCTCACACTTGACAATTTAGCTAGGCCTGATGGCAAAGCTGAGAAAATAGAATAGAGGGGGAAAGAATAAAAAGAATAGAATTAAATAATAAACTAGATAAAAATAGCTAAGTAGTAGCATTCCCAGTAACAATTTCCTTTTTAAAAGTAAAATTTTGCAGTTTTGCAGTATTGGCTTGGTGAGAGCTGTCTAACTATAATGGGCTGAATGTTGAATGGATTTTGATTTCAGCCCATTCTTACTCCACAGTTTCCTCTAGAAATTTTACAAACCATTCCCCACATCAAGAAAATGGGTATCCTTTGGCTTACTCTTATAAGCTAAGATGCACTGGACTTTTTATATAAAGTATTTTCATGCCAAATTATGTCCAAGTAGATTTTTGAATTGCCATTCTTCTAAAAGATATATTCATGTTTATTCATATAAAAAAAGTTTGGTATATAACTCAACAATCCATTCCCTAATGTAGCTTATAGTGATATTTGAAGTTCTGGCATGATTGATGCTAATAATATAGAACATTTTTTTCATTTCTAGTAAGTTAGTTTTGGTGTGTCCTGTCAATACCTCAGATACTGAATTGATTGAGAACAGAAATTGTAGAAGTTTACCTATGTTTTGTAGCAGCACAGAGCATTGGGGGAACTGTTGCAAGAGTGAGTTGGTGCATTTGAGAATTAGATGTCTTTGTAGTGATAATTCACATATTCTATTTTGGGATTTTTTTTTTTTAATTCCAACCATTGGTCTTTTATTACTGCTACTCAACCTTTCTTCCATTTTTTGGAAATGACTGCTATTGTAGATTTTGGAATGGGAATAAAATATTTTGGAGAAGTATCCCAATTCTGTGACTACTTAATTGAAAATCTAATGAAGAAATAAATTATAAAATATATACTTATGTGTTTGACCTTATTAATATGTTAAAATTCAGAGAAAAAATAGTGAAATTTGATTATAAATCTTTAGCATGGTAAGGTTTTGGTGAAAATATAGGGTGATGGAGAACTTGATTTTCTCTTTCTTTGCTGGTGAGTCTTAAGCTAGTATAATTTATGAAAAACCTAAGAAAGTAGATACAAAACTTTTTATCCTCAATTACTACTTCTCTACATCCATCTGCTGTACATTGTAGAATGGAATTTAATGCAGCATAATTTAATAAAAGGGAAACAGTAAAGGATGCCAGAATAAGGAAAAAATGTATTTTAAGGATTAAAATGTTGGATCCACATCTATACTTATTGACATGAAAAGATATGCAGGACAAATTATTGAGTGGAGTTAAATATACTATAATAAAGAATGGATCCAGGAATGATGTTGCATCTCTTGAGGCTGAGACAGGAGGATCATAGATGCAAAGCTAGCCTCAGCAACTTATTCAGGCTCTGAGAAATTCAGCAAGATTTTGACTCAAACAAACAAACAAACAAACAAACAAAGGTCTGGGGCATATGGCTCATTTTTTGAGAGAAAAAGAGAGAAAGAAACGATGGTTGTTTATTTTGGAAGTTTACACAGTATTAATGTTTTTCCCTGGGCTATATCTTTTTCTATGTACTTTAATATATATACTTTTATTTTAGAAAATAAATATCTAAACAACATGTTCAAGAAAGGTAAGGCATTGATGGTAGGAATATTTGGTATTGGATATAAATGAATATCCAATTATATCAATCAAATTATAAATCTGATTGATAAAATTAGGTTAGCTTTTTAAAATATTATTTATTGTTCTGTTAATATGCTAAAGAGATATGCATTTAACTTTTCTTGATTTTTAAAAACATTTTAAAAGCGCTTGGTTTTAGAATTTAGCTAACAGACATTATGCATATAATTATGGTTAATTTTTTTTACTTACCTTTATTTAGGTAAAGGAGGTAAAAATAGACGCAGAGGTAAAAATGAAAATGAATCTGAAAAAAGAGAGTTGGTTTTTAAAGAGGATGGTCAAGGTAAGACTTTTTAACTTATGCTCCTTTTATTTATTTATTTGTTTTATTATTTCTTACATACATGACAATAGTGGAATGCATTACAGTTATGATTATCCATTCACAGCACAATTTTTTGTAACTCTGTATATAAAATATGTTCGTACCAAATTATGTCATTACACATGAGCTCTCTTATTATTGTTATTTTTTTGTACAATTCTTAATACACCATTATTCCACCATTTATCATATAATACACCATTATACCACCATTTATCATATCTCTGTTTGTATATAAGGTATGTTGACACCAATTCACATCTTCATATATGTATTTTGTATGATTATGAGGGTCTCCTTCCACCATCCTTGCTATTCCCCTTCTCCCTCCCTTTCCCTCCCACCCCTATTCCCTATCTAGAGGTAGTCTTCCTTCCATGCATTGATTCTGTTTTAATTTTTTTAAGCCAAAGCCGTCTTAATCATAATCCTGAGTAGTAGTCCTTGTGCCTCCATTTTGCTCTTCTTCATTTCTCCTAATAATTAAACTGTTAATTCCTCCCTAAGTTTGAGGGAAAGGAGAATAAAAATATGACTGTGTCCATATGGGACAGTATCTATTTTGAAATGAGCCACCTTGTATTTAGAAGAACAACAAGCAGTAATAAAGGCAATAGGTAATTGATTTATTCAAAATAAATATATTAACTAAAACATTTGTAATATAGAGATGACTCTTCATGGAATGGACAATTGTGTTTGGGCGCAAACTACTTGATTAGTTCTTTATTACTCTAAAAGAAATTATCACATAAAAGCATGACTAGGATAGGTTTAGAAATTGTCAATTAAATATATATAATTTTTTTTTTATTTCTTGGGATAAAATTAGAATTTGTGTCACCTTATAAAAGGGCTTTCAGGGTAGACATTTTACTATTCAAACCATATTCATTAAAAAAGATAAAGTTTGATTCAAATGTAGCAGTACAAATAATGTTTTATTGTCTATTCTAAATTTTACCTATTACACTACTAAATTGAAATGAATGTTGAATGATATATCATCTTTTTTTCTTCCTCAGAGTATGCTCAGGTAATCAAAATGTTGGGAAATGGACGATTAGAAGCAATGTGTTTTGATGGTATTAAGAGGTTATGCCATATTAGAGGAAAGTTGAGAAAAAAGGTAAGTATGTAGATTTATTTACTTCAAGATTCAGTTGATTATAAAAACATTTTAATATGAAAGCAAATTCAGTTTCAAAAAGATATTTATAGAACCGAGCTGTGATTTATATGACATTTAAATAAGAATATCTTTGATCTTTATCATTTGCTTCACTTAATATTATATTTCTGCTGGATATCTACAGTAGATATAATATATCACAGTAGATATAATAATAAGGGAGAAAATAATCTGACAAATCTAATTCATAAAACAAATGGTCTAGACTCCATGAAAAATAACATGGAGATTAAAAGAGACTATAGAAATGGATAATTAATGGATCATGTTCCTTAATAGATTTTGTATTAGGGGAAATAATCATAAGTGGTCCTAGGGAAATTTGAATATGGAATATGTTAGATAACAGATTCCTTATCATAGCCCATTAAGACAGTTTTTAAATTATTTGATTAATTATTTATTTGAGATTGCCCCATGTTATAAGAAGAAGTCATTAAAAATTCATCTTTTAAGGCCATGGCTAATTAGCCTTTATGCTTCTCATACTATTAGATATTGTTATTTTGTATTAGGGGATTTCAGTAATCTGTTTATAAAAAAATATTTTTGGGTCTGTTATTCATTCTTTAACAAATTAATGGCACTTTTAAGGCTTATTCTTTTGAGGCTCCTGTAACAAAATACTACAGCCTGGGTGACTTATGAATAGTAATTTATTCCAGTTCTGAAGACTATTTTTGTTTAGAGGTGGTTTAAAATATGGTGATTTTAAAAGATGGCCTGCTTTCTGATTGATAGTACTTTCTGAGTCTTGATATGGAACCATGAAGCATTCTAGGACCCATTTAATAAAAGCATTAATACTATTCATGAGAATTCTGCTCTCCTGACCTAAACAACTCCCCCAGACTCCCATCTCCTGTCACTTTCATATTGAATGTTAGGATTTTAATATATGCATGTAAGAGACACGCATTCAGACAAGAGGAGGTCATTTTTATGTAGATTGATTTCTGAATGGCTACATTTATGTAGATAGTAATTCTTTCGTATTTTGGATAACTAAATATTTTAAGATAGTTTTTGATGTTTAGTCATTTCCCTTGATGGATGATCTTTTCTTTGAAGTTTTAAGCTCTTAAGTAATTGAAATAAAATTTCATATTTTAGTAGGCTACATGTAGAGTATTGTACTATAGTTTTATCTTACCTTTGCATTTTTTTTAAAATAATACTTGGGATGGAATCCAGATCCTTGTGCATGCTAGGGCAGTGCTCTAACATTAATCTTTGGTCCCCTAATTTTTGATAGTTTACAAAGTGGGTGAATAAAATATTTTTTGTGGGATGATTCATTTAAATTGGTTCTTTTAAAATTATTTATATTTTTTAAATGTCAGTAAATTATCTTTACAGGTTTGGATAAATTCCTCAGACATCATATTGGTTGGCCTTCGAGATTATCAGGTAAAAATTATATTCAAATTTGTACTCTGTGCTGGGTGACGCACCACACCTATAATCCCAGTGAACATGGAGGCTGAGGCTAAAGGATCACAAGTTCAAACCATCCTCCACAACTTAGCAAGGCCCTGAGTAACTTAGAGAGACTCTCTCTCAAAATAAAAAATAAAAGGGTTGGGGATGTAGCTCAGTGGTTAATCTCTCCTGGGATCAATCCCTAGTACCAAAAATATAAAAATAAAACAAATTTGTTCTGTGCCCTTGTTATTTAATAAATCATTAATATTTCCTATATAATACTGTTTCTACTTTTAGCCAGTTTCAGTACATACTTGACACCATTCTGTCATCAACACTTAAGGACTACAATATTTTTACACTTATTAAGAGACAATAGTATTTTTCTAATTCAAAATAATTCCCAAAGTTGATGGTACATGTATAAGAAAAGTGATTCAACACAATTTTTAATTTCTATTATTATTTTAAATATAATATGTTGTAAATAGTCTCTTTGTGTAGAACAGTACTATGGATGGATCATTATATCCCAATTCATTTGATGGCTTTTTGCTACATATTCTAGTTTTTACAGATGGTGATTCCCAAGGGCCAGTCTGTGAAATAGTAGTAACACAGGCTGACGTTTTATCTGCTCCCTAGAGAAATAAGAAGATAGCTAGGTGTGATGTTTTTGATGAAGCTCAATTGTCCATTTTCTTTCTAAAATATTTCTAGAATATTCTTCAATTAAATTTTCTAAAATAAGTATGATACTGTGTAAGTATGGTAGTGTTCTTTTTTAATTAATGTGTTTACTTTTTAATTTTTTTTTTTTAATTGAGTGGAAGGAGTCTCACAGTGTTGTCCAGTCTGGCTTTGAATTTCTGTTCTCAGTCGATCCTTCTGCTTCAGGCTCTGGGACTACAGGTGTGTGCGAACACACACAGTTTCATCATTTTATTTTGAAATCTATAGTTCTTGCAATTGAAGTCTGGAAGAGCAAGTCAGCTTTTTGTTTATGTGATGAGGCAGAAACCCCATAGCAGAAAGGCTTGGTGGGTGATAGCTGCTCAGCTTATGGCAGTCTGAGGGGAGAGAGAAAGAGGCAGAGAAAAAAAAAATTAAGAGTCCAGGATAAAATACAGGCAAAGGGCTTACTTCAAAGGATATAGTCTCTTCAACTAGGCCCCACCTCCTATGGTTTTTAACACCTCCCAGTAGTCCTTTCAATTTTGAGTCCATCAATCATGTATCCATCAATACATGTGGGTAATGATAAAGGATGGGAAGTTATCATCTGTCACTGCCTTGCCTAGTACTATGGAGAAAATATTTATTGAAGAAGGTAGAGCCCTAATGATCCAAAAGTCTCACCTTGAACATTCCTACATTGGAGACCAAACCTTCAACACATGAGCCTTTGAGAAATATTCTTTTCATATTATTAGGAGGGGTTTTCGTAAATGTCTCTTAGGTCTAGTTGACTTATGGTATTTCATTCTCTCTTGTTTGTCTGTTTTAGTTTGTTTGAAAGTGGCATTCTGAAGTCATTCAACTTCTTATCTCCTGAATTACTATTGTTTTAAATAATTTACGCATTTTTTGAAATATCATTTGTAGGACATTAGTCTTTTAATTTCCTTAAATATTTTTAAACATGATTTATTTTATTCTTAAACATATTTCTTCAAACATGTTTATAACAGTTTGTTTGTCAAGTACAACTTCAGGGCTTTCTTAGAAGGAGTTTGTACCGACTGCTGCTTTTTTTGTTGTGGGCCTCTTTTGTGTTTTCTTTTTTTTTTTTTTCCCTTCATTATTCAAAGATGTACATTTCAAATACAATATAGCAATTATGGAAATAATGTATTTATATATATCTTACAGTTTAAAAAATTCTGGTTTTTCCTGTATTGCCAGTGAATCTCTGTGATTATTTTAGTGGCCTTTCTTTGGATGGTTGTTAGATAAATTGTAAATCAGCAACATACACTTACTGCCATCTACCAGTCTAACTGATCATATTCTTCAAAATGGGTACATGTGAACATTTTAAAACTGGTTTTCTGGGGTTTGCATTACAGACACTTACTCAGGGGAGCTGTTAAGAATATAATTTTTTGGACTGTCCCCCAGGTTTATTGTTTTCTTTAAGAAAGTAATTAAATTAATTATCAGAATTAAATAATTCTGATAGGAGTACATTTTAAAAAACATTTCCACTACCACTGGAGAGAGCCAGTAGTTTGAGAGACAGAGTAACCAGAGAATTCAAAAAAGGTTTTTTTAGCAACATGTGGGTAATGTTAAAAGATGGGAAGTTAACATCTGTCACTGCTTTGTCTGGTACTATGGAGAAAATGTTTATGTAGAACTTTTTGGGAATGTTATCTCCTCCTCAAGCAGGTGGATGCCTAGAATAGTTTGTTAATATGGAAAAATGACCTATTCTGGAATGTAAGTTGTGAGCACTTAACTTGTGTAGTGGTGACCACCAAGTCATCACAGACCTGTAAATCTAAAAGAATATTTTTCAGAGGCTTTTGGATTCTGTCCCAGCCAGTCTCCGATTTTCTACTTTGTATTTGCCTGACAATTAATATTTTTATTATTATTTTTATTTTTATTTTTTTGTACCAGGGATTGAACTCAGAAGCAATTAGCCACTGAGCTACATCCCAAACCTTTATTGTATTTTATTTAGATACAGGGTCTCCCTAAGTTGCTGAGGGTGGCTTTGAACTCACAGTCTTCCTGCCTCAGTGCCTCCTGAGCTGCTCGAATTACAGGCATGTGCTGCTGCTCCCGACTGACAATTAATCATAAACTTTTTCATAATCTAGGAATGAACAGGACACAAGAAAGGTCCAGTGCACTTTAGTTGATTCTTTAGTCATTAAGATATGAATCAGAGTATAGGGAGAAAATAGTTATGTTTTAAAATGGTGAAGAAGAAAGTGAGGAGGAAAAAAACTTTAAACTTGGAGGCAGTTTTATGCTGGTATTCTTTTCTTTGGTCATATTATTTGCAGTTTTGATTGCTATATTTGACCTAAAATATGTATGTTGCAATTTTTTTCTTTTTTTTACTTCTAATCAGAAGATTATTTAAAAATACTGAGTTTGCCTGTTCTGCTTTTATGAGGATGAAATTGGTGTGTATGTTTTGGAATGTATGGAACCTTTTTTCTTTAGTTTAACCCAAAATTTTTTGGGAGGGATGCAGGAAGAGTGGGTATGAGTGTAGTGTGTAGAAGAAAAGCAGAGAATTTTTAACAAAATTCTTAATGATTTTTTTCTTAATGTTATTTGAAAGTAATTTATGTATAATTTGAAAACAACTGATGATATTTTGCTGTAACCAGTTTTAAAAGTGACTTGTTTAATTCTAAGGATAATAAAGCTGATGTAATTTTAAAGTACAATGCAGATGAAGCTAGAAGTCTGAAGGCATATGGAGAACTTCCAGAGCATGGTAATGTCTATATTGTTGTATTCTCAGTCATTTATTGGTGTTTAGGTAAAATAATTTTGGTAGATTTGTTTGTTTTACACATTATTGTGTGTAAGTGTATGTAAACCTAACAAAATTAGTAAGTATGCCTGTCTGTACTTTATCAATATTTTAGGAAAAATAAGAAGTCTCTCATGTTTTTTTTAAATTAATTTTATTTTTTAAATACATGACAGTGGAATGTACAATTCTTATTTCACATGTAGAGCACAATTTTTCATATTTTTGTTTGCATATAAAATATGTTCATACCATTTTATGTCTATATACATCTCTTGTTCTTTTGATAAAGAATTTTCCAACCTTTGGATGTATAGCTGTCAAGGAATACATTTGTTAGATTTTTATGTTTTTTGTTTAGTGTGTACTACATTTGTTCATCTTGACAAAATGATAAAAGCATTGGCTATAATTTGCTCCAAATCAGGTCCTAGTGCTTATTCTTTCCCTCTTCTTCTCCCTCCTCATGTTTTCCTGTTATACAGATCTATCTTTCTTTTTATTGGATTATGGAGGCTTTTATTTTTGTTTTTAATTAGTGCATTATGTGGAATATAATTTGCTTCATTCACTTCAGTTCCTAATGCTTCTTCTTTCCTTCTTCTCCATTCCTATTACTCTTCCTCTACTGATCTTTCTTCTATTATTTGTTTTTGAGTTGGTGTGTTCTAGATATTTGTAAGGTGAAATTCACCAATATAGTTGTATGTAATATCATAACTTCATTCCATATTTCTAACCTTTTCCTGTTCTTTCTGTTTTGCTTTGTTTTAACAATTTTCAAGAGACTGGCAATTTTTGTATAAATGAAGGCAGCAATTATAATAGTAGCTTTTAAGTTTTAGAAAACAAATATTTTATTATTAGAATTGTTACTTAGGGTATTTAGAACAAAAGTATTTATTTCCTTTTTGAAAGAAATAAAATATTTTCACAGGAAAAAAAATAACTTGAAAAGTCTGAAGTTACCCATAACATATTACTAGTAAAGAGAAAATGCACTAATTTATATGTCTACATGCTTTACTTGGTAGCTACATGCCTTTTTATTCCACTGCAGTTTTATCATAAGAATACTAAGGTTTTTTACAGAAGCATGGAGATCCTGATTAATTATTAGCTTTTTAAGGAGTGCTGAATTATCTAGGAATCTGACTAGCAGCTTCTTTTTTGCTTTACTTCTTAGAAATAAGCATGATTAGCCCAAGTCTCTGTGATTTGGTACATCCTTTTTAAAGATGTTGAAATAGTTGTTCTGATCCAAGGAGGACTTTAAAGATGCCATGAGGATGGTGTTAGCCTGTGCTCAAATCATTTGTTGTTGTTGTTTTAATTCTTTTTAATTATACAAGACAACGGAATGTATTTTGGCAAATTATATGTACAGAGAATACAACTTATTCTACTTAGGATCCCACTTTTGTGATTGTACATGTGATTGTACATAATTCGGAATTACCCTTATTATATATTCAAATACAAGGCTGGGAAAGTTATCTTTGATTAATTCTACTGTCTTTCCTATTCCGTTTCCCACTCCCTTCCCTTTGTTTCCCTTTGTCTAATTCAATGGATTTTTATTATTTACCTCTCCACCCTCCCCTGTTTGGGTTAGTATCCATAAACCAGAGAGAACATTTAGCCTTTGGGTTTTTTGGAAATTGGCTTATTTCACTTATCATGATAATTTCCAGTTCCATCCACTTACTAGCAAATGCCATTATTTCATAATGATTTATGGCTTTTTCCATTATGTACATATACCACATTTTCTTTATCTATTCATCTGCTGAAGAATATCTAGGTTGTTTCCATAGCTTAGCTATTGTGAGTTGGAGCTGCTGTATACCCAAAAGACTTAGAAACACTGCAGTGGTACAACTACATCAAACCATTTGAAGCATACATTGAAAGTGTTTAGCTATTGAGTTAGAGTAATTGGAGTCTGCCTACTTTTCTAAAAACTGTTTTGAACGAAAGAAAAATGTAGCCCATATTCTGTTTGTTGTAATTATTTTGTAATGAGTGAACATCTGGGGAATTTTATTGTTAATTTGCTGTTTATAGGACAGCTGCTAGAAGTTTAATAATTTTTAGTAAAGAAATATCAGTTGAATTGGAATATATTTTAAAACTTCTTTTTATAATTTTAAGTCTTCTCCTGTAGTTCAGTATTTATATCAGGCCTTTTCTTTAGTAAGTAGCTTGCTTAAATATTGTTTTGATTATATAATGAGTTCATTGGTTATCTTTAGCTAAAATTAACGAAACAGATACTTTTGGTCCTGGAGATGATGATGAAATTCAGTTTGATGATATTGGAGATGATGATGAAGATATTGATGATGTAAGTAGATGATTTTATAGATTTCTTCATTTTATTGATGAATTGTGTTATTTAATTACCTTGTTTTTTCTAAATATTTTCATTTAGCCAAGAATATTGAATACTTAAATTCAGGTGTGTTTGGGGACTTGACCATGAGTTTATTAAATAATAGGCAGAAATAACGTAGTTCAATTGTATTTTCTTTGGAAAGCTTTATCAATCCTTTAGAATACGTCTTTCTTTAAAATTAGTATTAATTTGGGCAGAAGTATTCCAAAATCATAACATGTTGAAAGTTATGAAAATAAATAATTATTATGAATTGCAGTAGTTTTGAAAACATGGCATTTCATAAATAAAATACTAATTTGTTAAAAGACTTAATGCAGCACTGAAATTACAACAGACTTTAAAAGTCTTGTTAAAATAAAAGCCTATTGCCAGAACATATAGTGGAATTTTATTATTTAATTTGTCAGCACTGTTAGTAAAATCCTTCATTTGAAGTTAGAGTGTGATTATTTGGGGGAAGGGCATTGTTTTTCCTAGTAATAAAGTAGTGAGTCACATACCTTACTGTTTTTATTATATCTAAGTAAAATTTGTCCTCTTTTTTTTAGTGTGTGTGTGAGGGAAAGTATTTTTTTTTTTAAATAAATGGAATAGTGATTTAGTAATATGGCTTACACTTCAGTCAGGCTCTTTTTAAAAAGTATTCCTATAATGTAAATGTAGTTCAGAAACTACCTGAGTATACAAATAACTATGAGAAGTAATGAATTTGGGGCATTAAGGTGAAATTTTAGAGTACCTGGAGTAATTGTTTTGAAAGTTTGTACAACATAATTACCAGACATTTTAAAAACTGCAAAGGCCAATCTTTGGAAAAAGTTGAGCTTGAGTAGTCCTGACATTCATCCCCATTTATAATATCTATAAACTCGCCACCCAGATTCTATAGTTGACATTTCTCTATACTTAACCACACTCATTCTTCTATCCATCCAACATCCCCACTTTGTTTTGATGCATTTCCAAAGCAGTTAGATTAATTGTACCATGAATTAAAATGAGAGTATGTATCTGTATAAACATTTTTATATTTATATTGTGTGTTTTTAAGCAAACACTAATGTGTAAATCTTTAAGTGTACCCAAAAATAGGGCGGGTGAGGTGGGTGGGGGAGGATGAGAAACAGTTATTGTAACATTTCCTTATATATCTTTCTTTGGGGACTCTATGCCAAAGGATTCTTATAACTAAAACAATATTAGTATATATTTAATATGGCAAAAAACCTATACTTTTGATTTAGGGCAGACTTGAATAATTTGACTGCCAGTGAGATTTAGCAACTTTTTAGAAAATTAAGGAACTTTCTAATTCAGGTATGTTTGGAGATTTGGCCATGAGTTTATTAAATAGTAGGCAGAAACAAGGTAGTTAAATTGTCTAGACTTTGGGAAGTTATGCATGAAAACACTGATGATAAACTTAGGGTCCAAGCAGGGTTAATATTTCTTCATGAAAAAAAAAGCCTTATAAGCCAAGAGACTTGAGGTAGAGATTGCAAGTTCCAAGCCATGCTGGCCAATTTAGCCATAGTCTTATATCAAAACAAACAGGCTAGGAGTATAGCTCATTATATAGATGCCAGGTTTAATCCCCAAATTGCAAACAACAAAGTCTTTTTATGAGTTTGTAATAAGGGCCTTCCTTTGGAACTGCTGATAGGGAAACAGATGGTAAAGGTAATGATTTTTAAAGGAATTTACTGTTTTGAAATTTGTAAATTTCTTTCTCTTTTTATTTTTTAACCTGGGAATCTTACTACTTGTAGAGTCATTTTTCTAGAAAGATTTACATCTGTTGTAGTGTTAACTTCTGTAATTAAAATAGATCTTAAACGGGGGGGGGGAGAGAATTTGGTTTAGACATAGTTCCATTTTGAAAAGAATTGTGCTTTTCCATTTCTATGCCAACTTTCAAAATAAAAGAATAAAGAAATGTCAAACTTTATTAAAGATATTTTGTGTGGCATTTAACAATGTAAAAAAGACAAAAAGTATACTGGCAACAGACAGGACTAAGGAAAAACCTGGTATACAGAATATGTGCCATAGTGATTGTCTAGATAACCTTAAAATGGTCTTAAAAATAGTAGAATGCTATAGGAATTATTTCATGGATCTTATGTTGTTTTTACTTATAGATCTAATCTGAAAGTGATTCTGAGGATTGTTCCACTGTTGAAATCTCAGCTGTCACCTGCTAAGAAGAATAAAATTTCATTTAGAATGAGTAAAATTTATTAAAGCAGATCCATTTATTTTCATTTTTTTAAAAATATTATATTTTGTTAAAACTAGAGTAATCTTAAATAACATGTTACTAACACTTCATTTTTTAGATGTAACTGAATTTAGAAGTAAAGGCTCAAACAACTTTGCCTTGTTAAAACCAAAGTAAGGAAGAAATGCCTTCCCATTTATGACTACTTTATTTCTAGTAAATGAATGTTTTTAATTATTTGCCATTTATATATAGTAGATTATAGTAAGCCCTAATTCCAACTGATGTTTACAGCATTTTTTTTTGTATGGTTTAGTTAACCAGATATTCTCTTGAGATTTTTATCACATTTTTAAGGAAAAAAGAAATCTGCATTTGAAATCAGAAAAAATAGGGCTATTTTTCTTATTTATCAAAATATATTTTTATTCTTAATGTCTTCTGTATTTCTTTATTTATGTTGCCACCATCCAAAGTAAGCTTTCCCAAATTGCAATTTAAAACATGGGAACAATTTTGAGTTCAAAAGATTAGCAGTTTCAAATGGAACACCCGGTGATAACCATTTTTCTTCATGTTAGAAATATTGATATGACTTGACAGTGTTTATTTAATTTTTACTTTTTTAAGATCATACAAATAGAAAATGAAAAATGAATGAAAATACATTGTTCTAATATTTACCTACCAAATTTTCCAAAAAAGGAAACTTTTGCTGTTACATAATAGTTTTTTACTTTGCAAGTAAGTCATATAAAATGATGACTTACTTTCTTTTTTTTGCCCCACAGTCATACATTGTAGCCCACATTTTGAGACTTAATGGGTAATTAAATTGCATTGTGCAAATGGAAAACTAATTTTATAACATTCTATAAACTAAGCCTTTCTTAAGCTAACCTTAGATTAAGAGGAAAAGAACTACAACTTATTGAAAAGATGGTTTCTGTTTTCTGTATGGAAGAACCATGGCATTAAAAATATAATAAAGAGTTATATTGAATGTATGTTTGTTGGCCTTTCTTGATGTTACTAATGTAATTTGTCATATACACTGACACTGTTAGTGTCAGATTATATCATAATCTTTCTTTTAAATTACCAATATAGTAAAATGAAATCAAACTTGTGGTAGTTTATCTTCTTTAGCCACAGTTAAATCTTATACTACTTTCAGAGATTCAACAGTTGGTGTTACCTTTATTACATTTTTTTCTCCTTTAAAATTTTTCAGTAGTGAAAATTAATATAAAGGATCAACAGGCTCACATGGATTTTATGACACAAATGTAACAGCTATGACAGACAAGAAACTTACATATGGCTTCATTTTATGTTGCCATAAATGCTTAAGTGTGGAAAATTTAGGTATAAAATTTTAGGCTAGAACCTAAGGATAAGATAGAAAAGTGCCCCCATGGTATTTAATGGTTCTTACCTATCAAATTTCATAACACGAATATAAGTAGATATATCTTGAGACCAAAAGCTGGATTTTAAATACTATTAAGCAGTTTTAAAGTGTTTACCTATTGATGATGTTCATGAGTAATGAAAATTCTGTGACATTTATCCTACTACATAAGTGTATTGCTAAATGTCTTCTTTCGATACATGTCCTTGTTCTCTAAAATTTAGAATTCTACTTGTGTAAAACAGTTCATGATAAAATATAAAACTGCTCAGACATTTTTCCCCAACTGACTTCTAACAAATATAATTTTTCTAAAGATTTTTTTTTCTTCCAAAGGACAAGGAGGGTTGCAATCCGTGTTTTATGATAATTTGTTTCTTTTTTTTTTTTCTTGCTTTTACATTCGGAAGGTACTTCGTCCTGGAAAGCCTGTAGTTCACATTAAACATTAGATATGTTATTGCTCATATGCAGCATTACTTGGAGGAATTACTTTGATAATATTATTAAAAGTATTAATTTTATATTTTATTTAATTATGTTTCAGATTAATGGATTAAATAGGAAAGTAGGTTCTTGTTACTGATTTCTGCAATATAATAATATTAGTCTAGAAAGTAAGTAAATATATTTAAAAGCAAAAAAAAAATAGCACTTACACTGACATTGATTAACTTTACTGCTAAGAGAATATGTAATGAATTCAGTATGGTTACATTCTTCATGCAGTATTTATTATATAGATTATACACATGTTGTAGTATTCAGATAGCTAAATAAGATAATAAATATGTAAAAAAGGGTTGCCAGCTTTTAATTATTTGACTGTTCGCATTTAAATTTGCAGCTTCCTAAGTTCTGAAGCCTTAAAAAGAGGTTGTAAATTTTGTATTTTATTAAGAAATGACCAATAATTTTCTTGACATTTATTTGGAATAGTGGCTATAAATATATATTTTTTTCTTAAGATATCTGTGACCAATGGTTTAATTTAATCCCAAGGATCTCAAGGATATATTCAAATATATGTTATCATTCAAATGTCAGTGAACATGTTTTGAGTATACCACATATCTAGGTTTATTGTTAACACATATATTTATTTTGTGTTAACATTTTGACAATATTTAACATTGCTTGATGTATAAGATAAATTTTTCCTTCTTCAATTAGAGTAAGCATTTAAATTATACTATTTCAGATCTCAAAATTCACTGCTTTGTGTTTTAGAACTACTTAAATCATTACTTAGTTTATCCTTGCTTTTCTTTTTATCCAAAACATACAAATAAAATCTAACTTAAGTTCTGTATAAATTTGATAAGTCCTTAAGAATACCAAGTTTGAATTCACTGAGGCATTTGTAGAGAGCATATTGAATTTTGTGTTCACTTTCTGTTAGCTACCCACCCATATTTATATCCCTATTCAATTCATGAAATGAATTTTAGACTTTATAATTAGACTGTCTATAACCAAATCCCCATTTGCTATCTGCTAACATGATGACATGGGTAAACTAACTTGTCAGGATAGTTAACCTCATTTTTATGCTAAATTGATAAAACATGCCTTGTTTCCATGCAGTATAAACCAATAAAAGGTAATATAGTTGGTATATAATGAAACAGTTACTGCAAGGTAAAGCAGTACTCAATAATAGAAAAACAAATTTTAATCATTCTGTAATTGTTTAACATTCTATTAAAAAAAGAAAAATTAATAATATGTAATTAATGTATAAGAAAAGAAAAAAAGGAAAACCATACATATTAGCATAGTAATTTAAAGCATTAAACATTGAGAACTAAATATTTTATTTTGTAAAATATTTGTCAAGTGTTAGTTTGGAAATGGGATGTTCTGCAAAATCTTTTAATGCAACAGTGTATTCAGAGGGATGATTAAATTAAGAGAGCTATAACCTGATCAGTCCATTCTAATGTGAGTGGAATGGTTGTGTGGAAATGTAGATGGGGCATGGCGGGAGATGGGTCACTGGAGGCTTGCACTGGAAGGATTCTTCTTTCCTGAACTCTCTTACCCCTTCTCTCTGCTTCTCAGCCTCCATAGGTAAACAGTACTTCTCCACAATACTCATCTGATGATTTTGGATCTAGAGAAATGGATCTGCCCACCATGAACTGGGTCTCTGAAACTCTGAGCCAAAATAAACTTCACCTCCTCCAAGTTGTTCTTGTAAGGTATTTTAATCATAGCAATGAAAAGCTGCCCAACACAGAAATTGGTATCGAGAAATTGGATTGATGCTATGACTGTTCCAGCTGTGGTTGAGAAGGCTTTGGTTATAATTTGTGGGAGGAGTCTGGAAAAGATGGAGGCTGAATATAGAATACCATAAGAAAAGCTTAATAAGCAATTCTGATGGAAGGTCAGAAGACAAAAATGCCAATAGGAATTCCCACTGCTCGAGTTGTCACGGGGATATGAGAACTATTGTGAATCAGACTAGAGGCTACATGTGTTCTCCAAATAACTTTTCTATATTTTGCTCATGTTCAACTTATTTTTTGTGAGGCTGAATTTTAAAAGTGATGAACTAATTCAAGAGAAAGTTTCAAGGCATTACAGCATTAAGGCAGTATGGATATATTGCCAGTAGCTTTTAGTGAGCTTTACTCAGAAGTAGATAGCAGTGATGAAAATTAAAAGTGAAACCAAGAAAGTTGTGCTTGAAGAAAGACTTTGCATAAAGACAGTAGGAAAGATGCCTCCAGAAAATATTAGAAATTCTCAGGACAACACCCATTGCAGGTTCTAGTATACAAAAAAGAAAATTCCTTTCAGAAGAGATAATAGTTCCTTGTTTCCAAAGGGGAGCCTAAGAAGTTGTTTCACCAGGCTCAGCTCTCCAGGCACTTAGAAGCTGCTGAAGCCCCTTTTCCAGAAAACTCAGATGCTGTGGGAGCTTGGGGCAGAATTTGGCATCATCCTCATGGTGCCAATTATGCAGAATTATGGAATTTAAGGTTAGATATTTCCATTGAAGTTTCAGTGGGTGACCATGCAAAGTGTAGTAGTGTTGGAGCCCCACAGGGTAATATTTGAAGCTGTAAAGGTGAAGCCACGTCTGGAATAGAGACCCCAGGAATTGATGTCAGTAAAGTGAACTGTGCTGAGAAAAACTGCTGGCTGCAAAAGAGCCCATGTATGCTGCCACTGGCAAGAACAAAGCGGTGGGACTGCTCAAACCCTTTGGAGAAAACAACTTATTTGCTTCAAATGCCATGGGTGGAACTAACAAGACCTGTTTGCCTGGCTACATTTTGGTCTTTTTGTCCCCATCCCTTCTTCTATGTCATTATTATTTATATTTGAAAAGAGATGCTTGCTCTATTCCCTGTCTATTGGATAAATGTAGCTTGCTTTTGATATTCAGAGAGATTCACAGTCAGGAGTTTGCCTTGAGTCTCAGAAAAAGACTTTGTAATCTGGGACAATAGTGAACTGCAGAGACTGGAACTCTTGGAGTAGGGCCAAAATACATTCTGCATTTTGAAATGGACAAGAGCTTTTGGGGACTGGAGATGGAAAGTTAGGTTTGAAAATGAAGTGTCTGCCCAAAGCTCCTATGTTAATTTTGGTCAGAGATAATTATAGTTCAAACTATACCTTACATTCTTGCCATATAACTCAGCATAGTTTCTATGCATTGGCAAATTATCAAACATACTTCTGAATTTGGACCATCTACCATTTTATAAGTTGAACTTTTTATGTTCAAGAATCTTTGTAACATGATTCATTTTCTTGGTGTCACATTCTCTGTGATATCTCCATTCCTTTGTCATAGCATTTTCCTCATTGATTTCGATAAGTTTACTACTAAATTCTTTGAATAAGTACAAAAATATAACTGCTTAACATCAATGTGTTACCATTTTGTTTGTTTCTTTTCTGCAGCTTTATGTCCAGGCCTGCTTTTGTGAAAGAAATGAGCCCATGTTGATCACTGTTAGACAGGAGGTATACAACTATACTTGATCCCAATTTATGAGCTGACTGATTTACATGCATTTTGACAGACTAAGAAGGTGATTGGTCACCAGTTATAATGTACAAAGTTGTTGAACTTATAACAGTGATAAGTGAAATTTGAACTGAATTATTAGGAGACTGGTACTTAGGTAACTACATAGTGTGTGTGGGGTTTTTTTTTTGTGTGTGTATGTGTTACAAAAAAAGGTTTGTTCTTGATATTGCTTCAGAAATGTTGAAAAGATTACATGAGTGCACAATTTCTGCATCGAGTGTTGTCCTTTTACAGTTATGTCAAGTATGGATATCACTATCATATCTTTTATCATTTTTTAAAAAAATATTTATTTTTTAGTTGTAAGTTGGACATAATACCTTCATTTGTCTATGTTTTATTTGGTGCTCAGGATCAACTCAGGGCCTCCTGTGCACTAGGCGTGTGCTCTACCACTGAACCACAACCCCAGCCCTTATCATTTCTTTTATATGTGGTCTTTTATTTCTATACTAGAATATGAACAGTTTGTATATTTATTTAACAAAAATTTCAAACTTAACATGATAATAAGTAAAGA